TTATACTATGACGTTGAAATACAAAATAATGTTTTGCTATTAATAATGCTTCTTTTTTTTTAAAGAAAATATGATTTTGCCATTAGATTATATGATCGGGTTACTGCTGGAAAAGAAGGCCATTACGGACATTTTTTTTTCTCGATTTTGTCCATTTCTGTCCCGATGGGTTTTCAATATATTATTCGATAAAAACTGTAACGAAATAAATTGATTGTTTTGAGCTTTCATCAACATTAGATTCAGCTAATTGTAAGGAGAAATTGCGCATCTCAGCGTCAGTGCATATCCTTTTACCTATGCTGTATTGGCAGAATAAATACACACACACACGCAAACACATAGATACATACACACATATACATACAATATATAGAGATATAATACAGGTAATAGATCCTTGGGTATATAATCCAGGTGGATCCTAGTAATATCAGATATTAAAACTGATCCACAAAGAACTCAGTGTAATTATTATAACAGAGCATATATTTTATACAGCAAAAAAATCCCAAATTACCTCATGTGAGTATAGTCTATTTCGAACTAGCACTGCTATATGCCTGCTATCCTCAGCACAAGGCTGTCAGGAAATGGTGTCTTTTGACTTTGTTTTAGATAAAGATGGTGAAAATGTATGGGGGCACTTAAGGGGACGCCTCAGTTTGGATAAGGTGTCTGAGCTTACGACCGGGAAATGGGCCAGAGTTGTGGTTTTATTTATGGCCAAGGCTTTTAGTTGTATGTAAATGAATTTAGGTTCCTGTTAGTGGATTATATTATTAAGTGGTGGGGGATTTGGTGTATTTTACACACACACACACACACACACACACACACACACACACACACACACACACACACATATATATATATATATATATATATATATTATTAAATGGACAAAGTCCGACAATTATTTAAGACATTTTTATGTTTATACGTCCTTTTTATAGATACAAATATTTAAGTAAATGCTCTGTTTATAATAAACAGTATTAACAACATTTACCGGCCTGAATGTCTGAAAATTTTCATAGAAAATATGCGTCCTCCGACAGGAATCGAACCTGTATCCTATACGGAACCGTCATATAGCCTGACGTGCCTGAACCGATTGGGCCACAGAGGAGCGTCAGTAAACAAGGTCGATTTTACTGTTTTTAAACACAATTCTCCATGATTTTCTCTCATTCATTTATATCTGCGTATCCAAACGTAAACAAATGACGTCATACATTATGAAATGGAAAAAATCCGACAATTATTTAAGACATTTTTATGTTTATACGTTCTTTTTTGATTTTGTTGTTAATACTGTTTATTATAAACAGAGCATTTACTTAAATATTTGTACCTATATAAAGAACGTAAAACATAGATATATATATATATATGTGTGTATGTGTGTGTGTGTGTGTGTGTGTGCAAAACATCAGATTTAAAAATTAATTAACTAAAAATATATCTGTAAAAAACAATTAAGACAAAGGAAAACTTTTCCTTACCAATGCGTTTCGTCCTCTGAAGTACTTATAGTTGTTCATTTTTTTAAAAATTTAAGCAGGCTCATAAATATACACCGGGCTAACTGAAAGTCTAGGTAAATTATGGAAGATGCTAAGTGATGTAATTTAATATCTAATAAGTGAGTAAATTTTGATGTTTTTTTTTTTTTGATTTTTTAAATGTAAATAATATTTATATTATTTTAATTGGGATTAATTTATGTATTATATCATTTAAATAATAGAAAGGTATGAATTTTACAGTTTTCTTTTAATTTTTTAACATTTTCATAGTTATGTATGTTGGCTTGAGAAATGAATCAGGAACGGAGATGTTTGAAAAATCCAGGGCGCAGATTTATATTTTGGCACAATGTGATGGCAGCAATCTCAAGAATAAATTGAAAAATCTGGAACGCAGATTTATATTTTGGTAAAATTCGATAGCAGCACTCTCATGAATTTAATCCAAAATAATAAGATAATATAAATATTAATTACATTAACTTTTTTAATTCTTTTTTTAATTTATTGAATATTATAGCTATAGTTATCTATTGAGTCCTTTTGGAAGAAGAAGTTCTGGTATCCTGAAAAATAGCTTTTAGTTTTAATATTTTATATATATATATATATATATATATATATATATATATATATATATATATATATATATATATATATATATATATATATATATATATATATATAGGAGAGGCACGGTGGAGCAGTGGATAGCGGCTTGGATTGAGGAATCGCAGAGCCGAATTCGAATTCAGTCGAATCCATTAAATTCACTTACGTGCTAATACCCTTGGGAAAGGTATGTATCCTCTTCATCTCCCTCCAGCTATGGGTAAAATAGCAGGACAGACTGGGTTCTATAGCCTTGGATGGCAACTGGTCTAGGAGAAGGACAACTCTGAATTTAAAAAAAACCTGCGGAGGGTCGTTTGGGAACCTTGTGGCATGCATTCGGTGCACCAGGTTTCTGTATTCGTCCCTCCAAAAAGTGTGGCTGGTCCTGCACGAGGCCTTCACCACTATAATCAAATCTCATGTGCCGTCGATTATATATATATATATATATATATATATATATATATATTTGTTGCTGTAAATGAAAATGAAAGGTTGGTACTCTGTGTTAAAATCAATGTAAATACTTCTATGATTGACTAATGGCGCGATGAATTGATGTAAATAAGATTCTAGCAAAATATACCCTATATATTTACATCTGCCTAATATGATTTAAATACGCAGCTTATCAGAAAGGTAAGCGTCTCAATAAACCACCGTGAAGGAGATAACGTAAAACCACTCCACTATTAATCCCAAGAAATAGCATGGCAATTATCAAAAAAAAAAAAAAAAAAAAATGAGAGCTAACGGCGTGAGAGGGGTTAAGTTTGCGGGAATTAACCCCTCGGCCGGTAAGGTAACGGCGTAAAGAGGATAAAATTATCCGAAACTGATGCCTCACCTTGAAAGGAGCGACATGAGTGGAAGGTAATTCCTGGCCGTTATCCATTGATTGTTTGTATTGAGAGACCGGAAACGACCTACACAATAGACTCTTCCAGGTAGTCGACTCTACTAAGTAGTCGACATAGCACTCTAGAGAGTGACAGAGAGAGACAGTGAGAGTCTCATACGACTACCAGTATTGGACACTAACATATAGTAAGCTCCACTTACACTATCTCTGTAACCTGTTGTTAATATATCTTTCTTACATCTAATCCGTGTTCCGTGTTTTACTTCTGTGGTCCCAACTTTGACCCCACATCAGTTTGCATCAAACAAAAAATAACTGTAGCCAGTTGGAAAATATAAGACTGGAGATGAGTAGGTTAAATGTCAACATTTTAGGAATATGCGAAACTAGGTGTTGAAACAACGGAGATTTTGTCAGTGACATGCACAAGATTATATATGCATACGGAGAGAAAAATGAAAAAGGAGTTGGATTGATACTAGATCAAGACATGAAGAAATGCGTTCTGGGGTACTATCAGTTATCTGAAAGAATTCTTGTACAGAGTTCGGCTGGTATTTGAGGACATACAGATTTAAGATTAATACTAACTAACTTCTAATGCTTTTATTTTTTCAGAGATTAAGAATGGCAAACACAATGATTAAAAAATGAAATAAAAAGGCATGTTGTGATTGTGGCATGATCATAGCGATTCGGATATTGCACGTTTCCTCAGAGTTGCAAGATCGTTTGTCTACAAGATACGAAAAGCGTTAGAAGACGCTGACATTTCCCCAATGTCTGTATCAAAACGTAAAAGACATTCTGCACGTTCTGATAAAGTGAACACATCCGAATTTATCCAGGAAGTCAAGCAGAAAATTGATGAAAACCGAGGTCAGTCAATGAGGTCAATTGCCAAAAAGCTGCATGTGTCTGAAAAAACAATCAGAAGGAGTATTCATGAAGTTATTCGATACAAGTCCTACGTGATGAAGAGAAAAAACCAAAGAAAACCGTTTAAACAGATCCAAAAGGCTTTTAAACAAACTTAAAAATCCTTCAGACGATCGTGTGATTTGATTTTTCTCATGGCGACAAAGATGACAATAGTCCGAATAATGTAAATAGTGCACATAATACCTCATCTCAGAAATATAGACAGATACTAAAGGGCCGAAACTTTGTAATAAATATAGCGACAAAGATGAGGACAATAGTCCGAATAATGTAAATAGTGTACATAATACCTCATCTCAGAAATTTAGACAGATACTTGACATAATTCTATCTAAATCATTCTTATCCATTAATACTGTGTATTTGACAAATATTTTGCTGTAATATGTTAAGGAATTTAAAAGGAAAGTATTGATATTTGTACATAGACACACTGATATCAATGGGTGTGCGGTGGTGCAGTGGATAACGACGCGGAATGAGAAATGAAAGCGCTGTGTTCGGATTCAAATCGAGTTCGTTATATTCACTTTCGCGCAAATAAATAAAGCGAATGAATCTAGCTCTTCTCTTCCCCCCATCTATGAGTAAACAGCAGGACTGACTAAACCCTATAACCTTGCTTGGCAACCAGTCTATGAGAAGGAAAGCTCTTAATTCAAAAGAGAAGATGGTTGGGCTCCGCCAGGCAATCTTTCCCAAGACACACCACTGCTGTAGTAATATGATGCACCTACGACCCTAGTGGGTTACGAAACTCGTCACACTGATATTAAGTCAGATGAGATATTACAGTTTTTATAATGTCAGACTTTGCTGATTAATTTTGCATGGGTTCATTTCATCAAGCATGGAGTTATGTGGAGACGTAACTGTAGACAATAATAGACATGACTGCATTTATACATTTCATGTGCAGTACTTTAAATAATGTTTGCGCATCCAAGCATTTTATTTTAATGGTTAAAATCTGCTAAATTTTTGGGTTACCGCCTACACAACACTGTTATTATTTAGTCATTATTAAAGTCACATTTTTTGTGCTACTACTAAAACGAAAGAGAGGGGAAAGAAAGAATGTAAAAAGAAAGAAAGAAGGAGAAAAAGGAAAAAGGGACACTGTAAATGAAAGAGAAGAAGAAAAAAGCAAAAGAGAGGGTGTAAAAGAACGAGAGAAGAAAAAGGAAAAAGAGAGACTGTAAAAGAAAGAGGGAAGAAAAATAAAAATGAAAGAATGTAAAAGGGAGAAGGAAGAAAGAATAAGGAAAAGGCGAGTGTAAAAGAGAGTTTAAATGAAATAAAACAGGAAAAAGAGAGAGTGTAAAAGAAAGAGAGAAAAAAAGAAAAAAAGAGAGACTGTAAAAAGAGGGAGGAAAATAAAAACGAGAGAGTGTAAAAGGGAGAAGAAGAAAGAAAGAAAGAAAGAAAGAAAGAAGGAAGGAAAAGACGAGCGTAAAAGAGAGTTTAAATGAAAGAGAGAAGAAAAACAGGAAAAAGAGAGAGTATAAAAGAAAGAGAGAAGAAAAAGCAAAAAGAGAGACTGTAAAAAGAGGGAGGAAAAATAAAAATGAGAGAGTGTAAAAGAGAGAAGATAAAGGAAAAAGAGAGTGTAAAAGAGAGAGTGTAAATGAAAGAGAGAAAAAAGTCAGGCGAGTAAGAGAGTGCAAAAGAAAGACATCAGAAGACGAAAACGGAGAATCTGCAAAAGAAAGCGTGAAGAAAAAGAAGAAAATTGAAAGAGACACAGTATAAAAGGAAAAAGAGAGAGTCCAAAAGAGAAGAAAAATACAAAGATATGTACAAGAGAAAAAAAAACAGTAAAAAGAAAAGGAAAAAGAGAGTGTAAAAAAAAAGAAAGAAAGAAAGAAGAAACGAAGAGAAAAATATTTAGGCACTGTTATCAGCCATTATCCATTTCGTTCATTTATACTCTTTTGCTTCTCTATTTTGATCGGCATAAAATCCGATCTCCGCCTGACAATGGAGTCAATACTTTGTCTCTTGACAAATGGATTGTATCGCTGGTTCTGGACTTTTGCCATTTCCATCAACATTGTATTTATTTACCGTGACGCGACCATGAGTCCCTTAGTATCTGCGGTACACCTATAGTCGTAGATACACCGCATATACTACAGATGAGGCAGAAATGGTCATGTCTTGGTCAAGATAGCCTGACAATGCTCAGTTCCCTTCAAGCTAGTTTTGAATCTAGAAGTTTCCTTCTTATAAAGGCAAGAAAGCTCAATGATCCCGGCGATAGCTGGAAGAAGATGAATTTTCCGAGGATATTAATGCGAAGAGATTCGGTCAGAATTTGAGTTCGACTTGCCAAGTCCATTTTCTGCATCGATAACTTTACACGCATATATACACGTATACATGTGGAACTTGAGTAGCAAGTGAAGTCTTTAACTGTAGCATAAAACCATATACAGAGTGTCCATAAAGTTCGTGTGCACTTTAAAAAATTTATAACTTTATTTGTATTTGCGATAGAAATAATCTGTAAAAAGGATTAGAAAGAAGTAAATCTATATTTTTTAAGGTTTTATTGAAAATATTGAAATTTTATTTAAGTTTCCACATCTCCTCCATCATTAGCAATACAAAGGGTAATACGATTTTGCAGTTCACGGAAAACATTTGTCAACTAATTTGCAGTAATGCCTGAAATCACATTAGTTATTTTAGCTATACTTAAAACTAGGTACATTAAACTTTATAACATTTTTTACAGATTATTTCTATCGCAAATACAAATAAAGTTATAAACACGAACTTTATGGACACCCTGTATTTTCATTTGATTCAGCCGGTTTGTTTGGAATAAACATCAGCTGAGAAGGTTGCATATCGACACCTGAGTTAGAATAAACATTTTGAATATTATATTATTATTGTCGTCTTGGAGATTTATCTTCCGCCACTTATCCTTTTGTTAGTTCCATCGTTAGTTCATTACAATAATTCATTAATCACGTGACACTATGTTTGAGATACCCACATTAAGAAGGAAGGTGATTCGTGTTTCATAACCGGCAAATACAGTCTTTGAAATCGGATCTTCTAAACGACATCCACTTGACCGGAAAGGAACAAATGCATAAGTAAGTAAGCGACAGCTTTCAGGGTCAAGTGACAACAAAATCGGACGTTGAGAATTTCCAACCACAGGTCTTTACTAACAGTCACAGTTGAGATGGAAGTAATTAGTTCTGGTCGGCTTTTTGTAAGGTGCAGACGTTCGTGTTGCCAGCCATGCATCGTGATGTTGAGATGAGCAGAGATTTGGTAGGAGGAAGAGTCAAAGCGATGAACGGATGTATTAGCCCGACATAACGGAATTTGTGTCATCTACCTAACCAGCTCGATCCAAAACTCGGAATCAGTCGGTCAGTTATGTGCCATGCGTGATACATGTAGACGATCATGTATCTTTCGGTACATGACTGACGAGTCAGATCTTTTCCCGCAGTAGGTTGCCATTTCCTTCTGCGGTAGACCATTTGCCATCCAAGGCTATAGAACCGGTCTGTCCTGCTATTTACCCATAGCTGGAGGGAGAAGATTCATACTTTTCCGAAGGGTATTAGCACGTAAGTGAATGTAATAGATTCGACTGGGATTCGACCTCGGCTCTCCCAGTTCGAATTCCATGACTCCACCGTGTCTCCTCCAAAACTCGGAATAAAATTTTAAATATATTGCAAACAGTATTGGCTATAATAGTGCTTGACCTACAATTTATTAGTAGTTATAATAATAATAAGAGCAACGTTTTAACAGAGATTTTTCTCTTCAGGACGTCGACGATCATGGCCATCCACAGCTTCTTGTTCTTTGGATAAGGTCAGGTTCGTTGTCAATACTTGTTGAGTTATTTGCTGTCAAATTTTCCATTTCTTTATTAGCTTTAAAGAGGAAGAGGATTCAGGACCCTCTTTTCTCACTTACCCATTTTTCGCGCTGAGAAGCATCGACATAATGATGTGCGGGTGATGTAATGGGCACTTGGAAAGAGAAATTGTAGAACCGAGTTCGAATTTCAGTGAAATTCGTTACATTCACTTACGCGGGAAAAGTATGACTCTATCTCTCCACCCACCCTATAGCTATGTGTTTACATATTAGAACAGACTGGGCGCATTAGCCATGGCTGGCAACCAGTCTAGGAGAGGGACAAACTCTGAATTCGAAACCGTAATGTCCACGATCCCCAATTTATTGAGAATGAGAAGAAGCATTAGAATTATCTTTGAACTGGTATAATTTCTTGGGAAAGATAATGGAGTGGTTTCCCGCTGCCATCTTTACTTTTTTGAATTCATATCCAAAGCAAAACGTCCATTGTTATTCAATCCATAGCAGGAAGGAAGAAGTGATGAGTTCATGCCTTTTTCCAAATGTATTCGGGCGAAATTGAACCGATTGGGATTTTAGTGATTTATTAGAAAAAGAAACACGTTTTTTAATCCTTATTTAGTCTCTATTTTTTATTTTTTATTTTGTTTTGTTTTTTTTTTTGTTTTTTTGAGATCTGGAACTTCGATTTTATTTTCGGCGCTAAAAACTGCTCTGCTACACGAACACCCATCCGGGTCATTAAAGAAATTAAATATAGTTTTTGAAATGATTAAAGATTTAAAATTTAGATAATTCCCTTATCTGACTGTCTAGTTATATATTAATTATACCATCACTTGCTTATCCAGACTGTTGATGTTGCATCTCTCGGACCGTAGCTCAATAAGGGCCCATTTAAACTAACATAAAAACTTAACAACTTCGATATAAAATATTCTCGTTGAAAATACACACCTCCAATTGAAAAAAAAAACACTTTAAAAAATACTATCTCTTATAAAAAAAAAAAAAAAAAAAAACAACAGAAAAATAGAAAAAAAAAACTTAACAAAATCAACTACGAACACAGCCATAATGATGGTCATAATCGGAATTTAAAATATTTCTACTCGGCAGCTTTCACATCATTTACATTACCATAAATAAAATACTTAAAATTGCTAATAGTTTAGCCGAAAGCGTTTGAATTGATTGATTGATTTGCTATTTTTACGGCTTATCAACCTTTTGTGATTTATTTAAAGCCGAAACATATTTTGAACGGTAAGAATAAATATTTTTTTACTGAGTGAATATTGCATTAGGATTTTTTTGGAGATAATAATATTTTTCAGATATATGTCTTACTATTTAATCCATAGTTGGAGATGAAGAGATCGATTCATAGCCAATCCTAAACCGGAAACAAGTGATAGACTTCTACTCCTGTTCAATAGATGGAGGAGAAGTGTCTAGAAAACATTACAGGATTGCCTTTTCACTCATTTTTTACAAAACACGTATTAGAGAAGGATTGCTACTCAAATGCACAACTCTTATATGTAAATTGTATTTTCCCGTTTTATCTGCTTTGCAGTGGAATTCAAATGGGCTCTTTCTGAAACTTTTGAGTGTTTATGTTTAATAGTGGATATTTACCCGTCCTCGTCACCAAAGATGGATGCGACACAAGGTCCTTCTAATGTGAGGAGTGCCATACGCATACTTATATGTATGAGCCAAGGACAACAAATAGTTTTTTTGCTCAGCACCCCGCAAACGTTGTCACGCTGGCATTGGTATTTAGTGCAATGAGGAAGGTGTTGTCGCAAGGTTGGAATCCCCAGGGCTGAGCAACTGCTCCCATTTAAAATGAGAACAATCATAACTCCACTTACAGCACAGCTTTGATTTGGTGGTTTAACGGCATATCAACTCCTTATGGGTCATTTAATGCCGAAATTTAGTTTTCTTGGGAGCCTTGAAGTAATAAAAATGATACTTGTTATTCTGTTCTCACAATTGAATGCATGGTAGATGATAGTTTGTGTGCATATGATTACTAGAGGCGGTCATATATCTGTTTTATGTTTCAGTTTTGTTGAAGTTATATTTTAGAATGCAACTTGATTTCTTTAAGAAGGGATATTATATGGATGAATGTCATGAAAGAGTTATTTCATGTTGGTTGTTTGGTTGGTTGATTTTGTTTAGCGGCATATCAACACCTCAATGGGTTATTTAATGCCGAAATCTAAATGAACATAATTTTATGGCTTCAACTAATCATATTTTGAACGCAATTGTATGACTTCAATTACAGATAAAATGCATTGTTGGTCAATTTAATATAAATATGTATTGTTGGTTGGTTGATATTGTTTAGCGGCATATCAACATCTCTATGGGTTATTTAATGCCGAAATCTAAATATTTTGAACACAATTTTATGGCTTCATCACAATATATTTTGAACGCAATTGTATGCCTTCAACTACAGATAAAATGTATTGTTGGTCATTTTGTTATAAAATGTATTGTTGGTAATTTCAACATTAAATATGTTCCGCTATTGATTGTTTTATATAAAAATGTATTGCTGGTATTTTTGCTATAAAAATGTATTTTTATACTTTCATAGTGTTTTGTTTTTGTTTGGGAGTTCGCTATCTGCCCATAGCTGGGACCCTAACCGGAGCTACCACCCAGATCAAGATGGATCTGGGAACAACAGCAATTAAGAGGTGGTTCCATGCTCCTCAAAACCTCCAATCTCCCGATCAGAGGTTTTGCTGCTAGATAGTTACAGCACAGGAGCGATAACCACGCCTCAGTAACCCTCATTGGCAATGGTTACCGCCTCTGCCAGGTATTGTAATTTTAGAAAGAGCACGAAGATGATCTGGAGATCTGCATTTAGAAGGTGGTAACGCTGGTTAACTATAGTAGTCGTTATTGTGCAGCGTCATGATAAATATTAAAACGGGTGTTTCATGACTGAACAGACCTAATATTTCCAGTCATGTCAATTCCTTTCCGCCATTCTTT